CAGATTTTTATATAAAATCCGTGTATTCTCACCTTGGTTTCAAATAAACTACGCATATCAATTTTTGAAGTTTAATCAATATCCCTGGAATATCTCTAGAAAAATTCCATTCCAATGGCATCAAAACTTTTCTCCATTTTTATTATGGCTTTAGTCCTTATTTTAACCATTGCTTCGTCCAATGCGAATGGTAAATTTTTTTAACATACTATATGAATACAAATGATTCCATCTCTAATATGATACGTATTTATATTTTTATTAATATATAACCTTGTCATAATCTCTTTCAGTATGCCAAATTGGTAAAGTTTATTATTAATATTTAAAATAATTCTTGTAAATAAATATAATATTAATTAACTGTTTACATTTTTAATTCGAATTTTCTTTAGTTTTGAAAGGTAAATTCACGCATAAAACTGGTGGTGTCTCTGGCTGTTACGGAACTGATAATACCGACCTAATTCGTGAAGCTTATTGTTTCGAAGGACCTTGCAGTTACATTTTTTTTTCTAAATATGGTTGTATGGGAAGAATAGTTGCAGAAGGATGCAATACAACGCACTTTATTCCTCGTGTCAGAGTCTCATCAATCCTATTAACATGTTTATGAATATAATACCTTTTTTTTGTTTTATAAATGTTGTTGGTTTCAGTTATAAATCATGTAAATTTCGTATTAAACGCATTTATAAATAAATAATTATCCTAAAATTTTTGAATTTACTACTCAGCTTTCACATTGAATGTGCATTATCTACATCATATCAGATTTATTATAAATACGACCTTAATGTTACCAGCTTAAAAAATTTCACTAAAAAAATTTCGCAGTAAAATAAAATTAGACTTTGTTAAAAAGTTAGGCAAGAATGAACTTTTATATAATATCAAAATGTTTTAAGGAAATAGCGCGCAGAAGGCAATTTCATAAATTAAGTGTTTAGTCATAATCGATTTTTTTTTGGTATTTTGCATTTCTTTGGCGTTATATATGATCTTGATCAGCAAAATTTTTAAAGACGATCCGCTAACAGGTACGTAATTTCATACATACCTAGCGCTAGTGTTCCGAATAATTCAGATCCGACGGATTCGGATTAACATCCACCGTAAAATCGGTTTGGACCAAAAGTTTCGGATTGCCCGGATTAAGCCTAATTTTGATATTTGGGTCCAGTTTTTTTCTTTCACATTGCATTAATATATAAATTCCAAGTCGACCATGTTAAAATATTTAGCCATTAAATACTTCGGATTGGCTTCGGATTCAGTCGGTTTCGGATCAATCCCGGATCAACCCGAGTTTTCAATCCGATGTCTAAACCTTTTGGGTACTAGTAAAAAATGTTGGAATGGCAATTTTTACGTATGACACAAGCCTACCCTAACCCTAACCTAATTCTAACACCAATTTTAATTAAATGAACGCATTTACGCCACTCCAGCGATCCCTATTTAAATTTCTTTTGTACGACAATCAAATTTCACTCTTATGTATTTATTACGTACGTACGTACTGTACCTTAAACACTTGTTAATCACATATCATGTCAAGTGAAGAAAACTTACAAAGCGTTAATAATAAACGATCCTTGAACAATCAAGTCACTAATATATCGCATATTGGTAATTCACGGAATTTTCTAAATAGAATTATCGAGGAATTATGCGAATTGTATAGTAAAGAAGTTATGAAAGGAAACTCTGAAGATTCAATTCTTCACTCGATAAATTATTATCTGGTAAATAAGCAGCAAAATCCAAAAGAAATAATTAATTTATGTTTAAATAATCAAGAAAATCCAATTATTCAATCCAATCCTAGAATTCAAAATATTCTTGCATGTTGTTATAAATATGGAAAATGGATTAAAAAGGATGAAAATCAAGCATTTTTTCATTATAAAAAATCTGCAGAAATGAAAAATTCTTTTGGAATTACTAATCTGGGTAATTGTTATGAAAATGGAATTGGTGTTGAAAAAAACAATTATGAAGCTTTTATTTATTATAAAATGTCAGCAGAAATGAATGATTCATATGGAATTATTCATCTTGGTGATTGTTATAAGAATGGAATTTGTGTAAAAAAAGATAACAATAAAGCATTCACTTATTATAAAAAATCGGCCGAAATGAACCATGCAAATGGAATAAATAATGTTGGATATTGTCTTCAAAATGGAATAGGTGTCGAAAAAGATGTGTATAAAGCATTTGTGCTTTATCAAAAATCTGCAAAGATGGGAAATGCTGTTGCGAAAATTAACCTTGGAAATTGCTATCAAAATGGAATAGGTGTTGAAAAAGATAAACATAAGGCATTCAAATATTATTATAAATCCTCAAAGATGGGAAATGCTATTGCAATAAATCAGGTTGGTTATTGTTATGAAAATGGAATAGGAGTTGTAAAAGATGAACATAAGGCATTCGAATATTATCAAAAATCTGCAGAGATGGGAAATGCTACCGCGATACGTAACCTTGAAAATTGCTATCGAAATGGAATAGGTGTTGAAAAAGATGAACAGAAAGCATTTGAATATTATCAAAAATCCGCAGAAATGAGAAATGCCATTGCGAGATGTCAAGTTGGTTATCGTTATCGAAATATAATAGGAGACGAAGATAAACATAATGAACATTATCAAAAATTAGCTGAAATAGATGATGTTAATGGAGTAAGTGCACTTGGTGTCTGTTATCAATATGGAATAGGAGTTGAGAAAGATGATCACAAAGCATTCGAATATTATCTGAAATCCGCAGATATGGGTGATACTTTCTCGATAGGTCAAGTTGGTTATTGTTATGAAAATGAAATAGGAGTTGAAAAAGATGAACATAAGGCATCAGAATATTATCAGAAATCTGCGAAAATGGAAATACTATTGCGATAGATCAAGTTGGCTAGTGGTCAAATATTATCAGAAATCCGCAGAGAAGTGAAATGCTCTTTCGATATATAGGTTTGTATATTGTTATCAATACGGAATAGGAATTGGAAAGATGAATATAAGGCATTAGAATGTTTTAGAAAATGCACAAACTTGGGAAATATTATGGGAACGAGTAAGTTTGGCTATTATCGAATTGGGATCGAACACGAGTAGATGTTCATTGGTTTCAAAAAGAGATAGTTATCAGGAAAGGATAAAATTAACATATAAAGATCTTGAAATTGAGACATCAATTAACATTGATTCCTGATGAATTTAAAAAATATCAAAGCTACTGTATATAGTGCGGAATTACAAAAATAACTAAGGCCTTGCAAACAAATAAAATTGTTTCTCGTTATCCGATCGGGTAACTTTTTAAGTTAAAATTTTTTTTTATATAAAATTTTTTTATTCTTGTATGAAAAAAAAAATTTGCAAAAATTTTTTATATTAAAAGATTTTTTAAGCATTTGCTTGTTTTATGTAATGAGAAGCATTTGCATAACCTAATTAATTATGCAATTCAACATTCGCATTTAAAACGATTCATAATCAAGAATATTTAAGTAGGTACTTTTTATTATTATTATTATTATTATTATTTATTATTAATGCTTATTAATGTTTTTTTATGCTTACGTATTTTAAAAGTAAAAAACATATTGTGAAAGAATCTATCATTTTTAAAAAATGCGAATTACAGTATCAAAAGATAAAAAAGAAAAATTTGTTCTTAGGTTTCTTGCGTGAAAATCTCGGTAAAACGGGGTGGAAATATGGGTTAAATTTGTTGCTAAATATTAGTTTTTGATCTCAAAGAGATTCATTTCCAAGGTTATTCATCGAGATTTATATAACATATACATTGCTTAGAATTTTCTCTTCAATTTCTTGAACAAAAAAATAATAATAAAGTTTTTGGTAGAGATTGGAACTACGTACTACGTAAAATTTTCTTAACCGTTTAATTGTTTAACCATGTTATCATATAATTAAAATCAATTAAAATTTATAAACCCAATTAATAACGAAATACCGTAAACTGCATATAAAAGACCCGGTCTCTTACATTTCGCCAATATTAAAACCTATATTAGACCCGGGTCTAGTACATGATGGAGAGTTTGTACCATTGGAAGGAAAATTTAAAACGCACGCATTTTTTAATTATAATGGGCAGCCTAGATTTTTAAACAAAATGCGTTTAGCTATTGAAGATTTGAGATTCACACCCGATCTAGTATATGGGATGGGGTCCAATATCTAGGGTCTTCTATGCGGCAGTTTACAGTAATTGCAATTAATGTAATTAAATTCAATTTTCTTTATGATACCGCGTATAACACTGCATACTACTTAAATAGCGAAAATTAATCCTCGTGACTGCGCTACCAATCAATTAATTGAGTTCAATTATAAACGAAATATTTACTTAACGAATGAAAGAGATTCATTCAAGGTTTATGCACTCTCAGATATCAGTGAACGAGATTCCGCTGTACAACACATATATAACAAGTATGAACCTATTCATTCTGTCATTGTTTATGACGCCATCTGTTCCAGATATATCTAGTAAAAATATATTTTTTTAAATATCAATGTTTGTGTATATTTATTATACACATATTTGATATCTGAATATCTCAAAGAGTAAAATTTGAGTCGCAATTTGTGACGATTCAAATAATTCAAATGTTTGGATACAACAAATCTCACTAAATCCCCGTTTGTAAAAACAACATTAGTAATGAACTTTGCTTAACTTATCTTCCTCATGGCTATTTACATGAGCAACGTGTCATTCTGGATAATGCTATATATTTTTAGCTTGGGCAACAAACCGTACATTAATAGTTCCATCAATAATATTTGTCAACAACTGTTACCTCATGGTCCATTTAAGAATCTATCAGAAATGCTAGTAAATTTAAACCATTAAAATGAAACAAATAGTGAATACCTGATACGGATTGGATTCTAAACATAATCAATATATAAAAAAAAGTTCAATCTTTACACTTTTGTAAAATGAAAAAATTTATAGATATGGAGTTTTCACAACAACATATTCAAACAATTAATCGAAAAATTTATGATTTTACAAGTCTTCTCATATTTTTAAACATCACAGACCAAAAAAATAAGTTTATATAATAGACGATGAAGAAATTTACACCCGCCTGATTTATAATGTTATAGACTAGACCATCTGATCGAAAGGTAAAAGAATGATTTATTTGTGCACTTTACAATTTTTTGAATCGCGATTTGTACTAGTCAACTCAACTTGAAGCTGAATGGTAACAGAGAATTTTCGCAAAATATTAGAAACATATTAATAATTAATCATCCAATATTGCTTAAAAAAGGTGAAGAAATTAGCACACTGTTAGGTGGTTTGGCAAATTTTTATGGAAGTTCACTTCGAACAGATAGGTGATATCTATCAATGATATTATTGAGAAGTTAAAGAATCAATCCAGTAATAATGTCTCAAAAAACTATCAGTAATACATTGGATCGGATAGAACTAGCATAAAGGAGGTTTCAACCAACTTTTTAACACAAACGTTAGCTGAAGAATGTGTACAAAAGATCCCATCAGGCTAAAACTGTTAAAATAAAAAGATATAACTAGTATAATGATTAGATATTTTCTTTATATTGTTGAATATAATGCAACAAAAATTGTAATTTAAGAAACTTTAAGAAATTTGCTGAGTATTATTTTTTTAAATTAATATTTGCGCTTAACATTTATTGTATAATTTTTTTAAAGCAATAAAACTATCACTAAGAAACTTTACCAAATTTTTGAGCATTATTTTTTTTTATCTTAATTAATATTTGCATCTAACATTTATTGTATTGCCTTTTTAAAGCCAATTATTATTCTCAACTCCTAAGACTTTCGTCAACAATATTCGATACTTCAAAGTTCATATTTGCTTGACGTCAGTTTAGATTGTGATTTAAATATTATTATTTTTCAATTCCTATGACTTTGTCAACTATATCTGATGCTTTAAAGTAGTGATTGGACCCGTCAAAAAAAATGCCACCCGGGTAGAACCTGGGTGGGTTAAAAAAGCAACCTTTCGGGTGGATTCATGAATCACCTGGGTGAAAATAGAGCATTACAGTTGTTTCATAAATTCCGGAACAACTGAAAAAATTGCCGATGACCGAATCGATAAGCTTCGGAAGTCGGTTATTTATTGATTCCGACTCGGTAACTTATCATTAAATGAGTGTCTAGTCTAATATAAAACCCATTTTGAAAGTTTTTTTTTTTTTTAAGAAAAAAAAGGCAATTAACGTTAATATACATACAAGTGCATATTTGGATTAAAGTCGCAATTATTGTTCACGGGTCACCCTTTGGATGACCCACCCGCTTCCACCCGGGTGGCCAAAACTTCACCCGAGTCACCCGTCCACCCGCGGGTGACCCGGGTGGCACCTATCAGGGTCCAATCACTACTTCAAAGTCTATAATTCCACGACCTTCACTTGACATCGGTTTAGGTTGTGGTTTAAAATTTTCGTAATACGATTCTGTGGACAACTAGAACATTCATTACTGTGGTATTCCTCTTTGCCAGTGCAATATTTACATCGAATAGAATAGTATTTTCTGTTTTTTTTTTTTATCAATATTATAGTCATCCCATACTTCTTCTCAAGGCCGACCACCAGAATTAGATTTTTATTCATTGAAGAAGAAATTGAACAATCGTCAGTATCGCTTGTAGCAATTGGATTGTTATCGCTATTATTTGACAAGTTGAATAAGAATTATTAAATTATTTGTTTTGATGTTAGTCTGTTCAACTTTTATATCATTATAGTTTGATTTTTCATCAATATTTTAACAATATTTTTAGCCTACAACAAGCGTTAAAATCAGTCTTACCACGTGATAAAACCAAAACATAGTGCTGTTAAAAAGTTATCTCGGCATCACTAGTTGGCGCATAACAATTATTGTTGATATCAATGCATTATTATCTCTTATTGACATAATCATTTGATCATTATAAAAAGTTTCCTTGATGACACTCATATATTAAAAAAAAAAAAAAAGTTTTTAAATCGATGAGTTATAGATATATATATCAGACGAACTTAGGGGTTTCAGCATTGATAAAAGCGAAACCTGGGTTTGACTTTTGCTGGAAAAATTTTAGAAAGGCGAAATGGTAAACTGTCGATACGTGATGGAACTGGTGAAAAATGGAAAACCTGACAGATGATACGAAACTAATAAAACTGGTGAAAGGAGATAAAACTGACCAAAGGTGGTAAAGTAAAAAGCACCAATACTAAATTATCTATTATCAAATTATTGTCGCGGCAGATGCTGAATTTTAGGGTCCCCGTTTAAATCTATAATACCTACTAAAATTCACATATACTTTTTTACTAATAATACTAACCCTAAACCCTAACCTAACCCTAAAAAAAACCCCCCTAACGAAAAGGCCCAAAAATTTTTTAAAATTTCATAATAAAATAAATTTTCAGCATCAGCCACCACGATTATTTACTTAACTTACAAATAAAATTGCGTCTCTATACCGAAGTTTATTTATAATTAAATCTCTTTATGCAACCGTAATAAAATGTATCAAAAAGATTTGGTATAACAAATTGAACATAATATCGACTAAAATTGGCCAACATTATAACTAATGCCGGCTAACTTTATGGTATTAGGTCCTTTCGGGAATCTTTCTTTTGGGATTTTGTGGTAAAACCATAAGCAAGTGATTTTGTTTTGATCTCTTTTTTAATAGCTAACTCAATGGCAAACAATAAATTACCAACTGAAGAAGACGTTTCAGAACTAGGGATGGGTTCGGCTACAAACGACTACGATCACTATAAGCAAATTGCTAAATTTTGAAATTATTTTTTTTTATGTCATTAATTAAAGTTGTTCAGAAATATATTATAGTCACAGTTACTTATAAGATATCTTCTCTAAAATTCAAAATCTTAAAATTCATCATCGATTATGGAACGACTTGACTGACTGCGCAACCGATGATGAATTTTTAAGATTTTGAATTTTAGAAAAGGTGTTTTGGATTTATCTTATAAGTAACTATGACTAAAATTTACTTCTGAATAACTTTAATTGATGACTTATAAAAATAAAATTATTTCAAAATTTGGCAATCTGCTTATAGTTGATCGTAGTCGTTCGTAGCCGAACCCAGCCTAATCAGAACTTAAATTTTTGCGAGTTCACAATACTATAAATGTATGGCAAAATGGTTACGTGTAGTTGACTATTCAAAGTCATTGAACTTGAAGATTTTCTCTGTAAATTCTGAATTAATTTATAATGATAGACGGTCTTCGAAACTAATAATTTTCCATAACTGTTCAGGCTCAGATTACGATCTTAACTGATAAGATCAGTATAATCCTTTATTTTTCTAACAATGAGTAGCAATGAAAATTTATTGCTTTCATTTTCAGTGTCAAGATATTCAGCAATATTAATATAAATGATTCTTTAATTAATAAGGTTGTAACGTTCTATCTGTCATTTTTAAAAGATTTGATTAGCCAATTTTAGGTTCTGTAAACATTTTAAACACCTAAAAAGAATGGTTCATGTGTCGAATTATGGTATTGTAATTTACACAGATCAATATGATGTGGGCGACCATATTCATACAGTATGAGGTGTAAAATACAAATATATATATATATATAGTATGGTATGTTATATATTACTGTATTAGGTTTAGAAATTATCGTTATAGTATAGTATATTTATATATCTTAAGACCCGGGCGATGCCCTGGGTATAAAGTTTCTGATTTTTTTTTGTCTTAGGTCTTGAACCCAACTTGGGTTCAAAAAGAAACCAATTAGATTCAAAAGGATCTGATTTAGATTCAAAAAGAACCCAACTTGGGTTCAAAGTGAACCCAACTTGGGTTCAAAAGGAGCTCGGTTTGAGTACAAATAAACCTAGCTTGGGTTCAAATGAACCCGGGTTAGCTTGGGTTCAAATAAATTCAGCTTGGGTTCAAATAAATTTAGCTTGGGTTTAAATAAACCCATCTTGGATTCAAATAAATCTAGCTTGGGTTCAAATAAACCTAGCTTGGATTCATATAAATTAAATTGGTTTATTTTAAAATTATTTTTTAAATTATAAATTAATTTTTTGAATTAATTTAATATGGTACTCCAAGTCACTTGTGCCAAATTTACAAAACATTAATATATATATGTTATTAAGGCGCCAATTTTATTCTAACTTTTATAAATTATATATTATATGCCAATTTTATGTGGATCTCTATAATAAATTAAGGCACCAATTTTATAGATAATTTGATGAGAAGTGACTTGGTGCACCATATTTACTAGCAGCAAAATTCACTAATTTAAAAATTTTTAAAATTAGAGTGCAGTTTTAAGATAAAAGAAGTTTTTATATAATATAATATAGATTAAATACTGGGTTCTAGTTTTTATAAAGTTTTAAAGGTTTGAATATTTTACTTTGAATATCTGATCCTATTTACTTAATATATTTTTAAGATATAGTATTCTAATAAATTTTTTTTTAGTAAATATTAAAATACTTTTTAAGTTTATTATTTAATTTTATTTTTTTTTTTAAATTAAAATTTTGGGTTAATTTTTTTTAAATTTGACAATTCTGCCAATACTTTATTAAAAGCATACTTATATTTATTTTATTACATGCAATTTACAAGCCTTTGAAACTTGTTTTATCTAAATTACAAATATTGACTAACCTAGCTCTTTACAACAAATGTTTGAATTACCCATGTTTAATTTGCTATAGTAAATATTTATCTCTATACTAATTGATTTTGTCTCAGATCTATTAGTATATTAATGAATAATATTTATATCCTGCTTATCAAAATTGTTTTCTTTTATAATCTTCTTCTTCTAACTTTTTAAGCAGAAAAAATTGTAGTCTAACTAATTTATGAAAAAAAACTAAATAAATAAGAAATAAAGAGAGATTATAAAAGAAGAAGAAGAACTACATTACCTAAACAAATACTAAAAATAACAAAGAAAAATAAAAAAGAAGAAAAAGATAGAAAAAACAATCTATATATAAAGAGCATACTGTTATAGCCTATACGAAGTATAAGAAAAAATTATACAGTCTAATCTTGTTATAATCACCAGGTTGGAAAACAAATTTTTGGTGATTATAAAAAGCTGTGACTAAATAAAGATCAAATTTTATATGTTTTATAATAGCTAAACCAAAAAATAGTGTGATTATAACAAGGTTGTGACTATATTGAGAGTGACTATAATGTGGTCAGACTGTATAACAAATACAATATTTGTATATTTCTACTATAAAACTAAGCCTTAATATATAAATTTTTTTTAACTAAACAACTATTTTCAGATATTTCTTTAACCAAGAATCTAGTTTTGTAAAGTAGTACTACATCTAGAAATAGGAATTAGCTATATAATTTAGTTGACTAAATTAACTAAACATAGTAATTTATATATAAATTTTTTAGTTGACTAAATTAATTCTTATTTCTAACTGTATCTATTGGTAAATAAAACATGTGTTG